GGTTGGGAAAGGTAGAGATTTAGTGAAATGGGTCTGGTAAAACTGGCAACAACGGACAGACATGTCTAGACTCCCTTTGGGACCACATTCACCATGCTCACGGACTGGAAGCTGCAGGCAGAGGCATAGGTATAGGTATGGCCAAGGCGTGCCCTCTGGCAGTGCAAGCCTCCATATACTCAAGCTCAGCGGGTTAGTGTGTCATTGGACCCTGGCTGCCTGCAAGCAATGTGCAGGCTATCGCTGAGGCTACTGTGTGGACATGTGGTGTATGAAAAAGGCATGGTTCACCATGCTATGCCTGCTCCCGACATCATGCTTTCAGGGAAGCATCACTTGGGAATTTCACCACAGTGTGAAAACAAGCGCAGGGACAAGGCTGTCTGTGATCACTGAAGGTTTTCTAAGAGTTGGACTAAAATGAAAGTTTTGGTCTCTTTCTCTCAGAGCCAATAGTTGAATTTGCCCAAACAACCCTTGGCTCGTTTTGAAAAGTTGTAACACCTTGTATGTTAGATTTTAGTCTGCAAAAGATCATGATGTGGTTGCGTTATCACCAATTCAAGGGGCAAATTGGAACGAATAATTTTCGGGTAGGCAGGGCTGCTTGGAAAGACTGGATATCGCTGAGCTACTATACAGTAACTTAGCCTGTGAATCGACTCATACCATTTCTTTGTTCCACTTTTTTTTTTTTTTTTCCCCAGGACTAGTATGACCTGTCTAATGGAAGAGGCAACCAAGATGGAGAAAATCAAATTCCAGCACATTGTCACTGTCTATGGGATCTGCAACAGGCCTTTGGGGATAGTGATGGAATATATGGCGAGAGGGTCCTTGGAGAAAATTCTTCCCACTCACAAAATGTCATGGCAGCTCAAATTCCGCGTTATCCATGAGATGGGCTTGGCTATGAATTTCCTGCATAGCATGACACCTCCTTTGCTGCACTTAGATCTAAAACCAGGGAACATTCTCCTAGATGGGAATATGCATGTCAAGGTATGACTTTAACGCTTTGTAGGGACAGGTTATTTCTCAAATAAGAGAACGGTTATTTTTGCCAAATGAGTCTAAGATCCTAGTAAGTTAGGTTTTCCAGGAACACTCAATGAAAGATTGACCAGTGAGGCTTATAAGAAGCAGCTGGTAAACAAATTACATGGTATTCTCAGGATTGTACAGGCAATCTGTGCCAGACCTGGGAACTTAAGGCTCCAACTTTGGTGGAAATGCTGATCTGCTGGACTCAGTGGGAGGCATCAACTACAATTTCACCAGGGTTTTGTCAGGTTTCAGCAGCTAGGCACCTCCTCATATCCCTGATCATGAAGGACAGAGGCACCTCCCAGCTAATATAAGGAGGGGGCAGATTGTGAGCATTACAAGGGAAGCTCTCATTTTTTCTGCTTGCAGATCTCAGACTTCGGGCTATCAAAATGGATGGAACAGTCTAGCCGAATGCAATATATTGAAAGCTCTGCTTTGAGAGGCACTTTGAGCTACATCCCCCCCGAAATGTTTCTGCAGAACAGCAAGCCCCCAGGAATCAAGTACGATGTGTACAGGTAAGCGCTGCCTTTCTGTTCAGAGGTCACACAGGGTTGCCACCTAGCTCTTACACAGAGCAAGAGAGACTGGCACATTGCCTCATTTTCTTTATATTCTGGCTCTCTGCCTTGCATAATGTCCTTGGTGAGGAACACACTTGGAGTGACGTGTGGTACTCCAGCCTCAGTGGTGGGGAGTGAGGGGGAGGGGGATTATCTGTGGATGATCATCTGTCTCTTACCAGATGCACCTCTGTGCAGCACTGATCTCATGTGAACCACAGACTGTGTTACCTTAGGTTCCATCATATCGTGTGAGGTTGCTGGAAGTTCTTCTAGAAAAGGAGTAAGATTAGAACACAGAACAGACGATGTCTGCTCTTTCATAGAAGTTGCTGCTTGGATTTATTTTGATTTTAAAACAACTGTAATATTGCATGTCTGCTTTGGTATTCAGCTTCATTTTGGTCAGTAGCAGGTGGAGAAAAGATTTCAACTTTACTTTTTCCTTTTTGGCCAAAGTGCTTTGCACCCCACTTACTCAAGCTACATATATACATTCTGGAAATTTGTCTGCTCCTCAGCCACTACATTACACAGTAACCCAAGACAAGAAGCAAAGGATTTGCATGGCCATGTGCACTTGCAGTAGTCAAGGGCTCTAAAACGCAATGCAGATGAAGTGGAGTAAAAGGCGCTGAGAGCCTGACTTTCACAGGAAATGCTCTAAGTCACTCACTCGCTACACCAACCCTTTCAGTGAGGCATCAGAGATGTACGTGATGATTCATAAGATCCTGCCCTTTTGGTGCGGGGGATGAAATCTTTCCATCCTGAAGAACTTCTTTCCAAGTTTTCCCATTTCTCAAGAAGATGAAAACAATGAGTGAATTTTATGTTTGTGTACATATGGGAGTGATTGCTCATGATCTGTCATTGCCTGCAGCTTTGGAATTGTCATTTGGGAGGTACTTATGCAGAAGAAACCTTATGCAGGTAAATATGAACACTTCTTACATGCTCTGCACTTATCAAATGTTTATTATAGCCATCTTCACAGAGAAAAAGCTCAGTGCACATTGCTCTTTTTCAGGAGCCAACATGATGGCCATTATAGTCAAGGTTGCAGCAGGAAAGAGGCCCTGCCTAGAACCCACCAGTGATGACTGGCCAGGGGAATGCCAGCAGATGGGTGACTTGATGAAGAGGTGTTGGGACCAAGACCCCAAGCAAAGGCCAAGCTTTACAGGTCTAGTAGCTGATTGTGATATGGAGTAGCCCAAGGGTCAGCTGCATGGGTTAACAAATTGGGGACAAGCTTGTGTATAACTCTTTGCCAGCTGAAGAGCCTGTTGCCTTGGAAATGCTTGGTACTCGTTTGCTGTCAACACATCCTTTTTCTTCCTCTTTCCTTCCTCCCCACGAGGAGGATACATGGGAGAATTCCACAACCTTGGGTACTGACTGGGTTCTGAACACCTGGGTAGTCTGCACAGCTAACAATCTTTTTCCTCTGGTAGATATCCCTGTAGAAACAGACATGCTGCTGTCACTGATACAAAGCCTTGTAGTAGATCCAGAGAATGAGCGCCTTGTTAGGAAGATGTCCCACAAGCCTGCCATCTCTGGGAACCAGCAGGTGAGGAATGTTTCCCAGTACTACTCAGGAAATTCCACTGAGTCTTTTCCCTGTTCTCACCAGTTCTTGAGAATGTGTTTCCTCTCTCACCACTTTCTATGATCAGACAGCAAGAGCACCTCAGCAACCTTTGCGCATTGTGTTCACATAGGTTGTACATCTGTAATTCATTCACGGGGATAGGAAACTTGCAAATAAATTTAGCAAGCTGACGAGTGTGCTAAATGATAGACAGTCTGAGAGGAAGACCCTTCTTTCTACCTGCTCAGATGAAGTGGGTTTATCGTGTAGGCCTCAGTCATTAAAAGAAGATCAAGCAGACACAGAATCATGGGGGTTCTGCTCATTGCATTGGCATATGTGCTCAGATGACTGTTTTCCATCTCCATGGAGTGGAGGACATTCCAGTTTAAACAATTCTCGTAGAAGGAAAAAAAAAAAAAAAGTTTTAAATCCCTGTGTTTCTCTGACTGAGAAAAAAATCAGGTTTCAGGATAGTCACAATTTTAGCCCAGCTACTGGAGTGTAAATGTGCCTAGAAGTCAGCTTCATACAGGGAGAAGTAGCAGTTGAGAACTATTGCTATTTTGAGGTTTTGCCTAGTTGTGCAGTCATCAAGTTGTGCAGTCATTAGGAGCAAAGGCAGCTGAGTATAGAGGATTTGAGGAGGTGGGGGTGTTTGCATTCCCTATACAACAAAGGAAATGGCCAGCTGGGATGCTGCCATGGGCACGTGCTGCAATAAGGAAGTAGAATATATGTATATTTGGGAGGAAATGAGTAAAAGGAGGAAAATCTCATTGATATCCAGAGATTGTTTTCAGACTCCCACATTCCTGTTAGTGTCATGATTTGCTCTGCTGAGTTTTGGATGCAATAACAGGATTGGATAAAAACCACTCCAATGATAATCCAAAATTCTAGAGCAGTAGCAAAGAACAACTCTGTGCAAACATTATAGAATGCAAATAAGCAACTTTGTCTTATGGCTTTTTCTTTTCCCCTTCCTGAAAATGAGAGTGACAAAGAAGAGTCCATCTTCCCCCAAGACACCAGAAGTGGTGGTAAGTAAGGAACATTCTTTATAATTCAAAAATAAAGAAGGGGAAACCTACCAAAAAATAGCCTATTGCCTCACTCTCCAGAGATAAGGTTGGATTATTTTGAATGTGTTGAAAGATTTCCATGTGGGTGACTTTTCTTTTTAAGTTAAGGAAAATGGACTATACAGGCAATAGCAGATATAGTTCCCGTAAGGGAGAGGCCAAATGTCTCGCTGCTTCCTAAGAGACTGCATGTAGTGGTCTTGCCTCATTTCATATTTGCTATCTCTAAAGTGACTTTTATTTCACATGCTCTCCCTCCCGTCTTGTGCACACCAATCTATTTTACTTCATTTTACTCTCTTTCTCCTATTTTGTTTCCCCTGCCTTCAGAAAGTGACAATCAGGAGGTTCGTATCCCACAAAGTCCAGAGGACATCTTATCTGAGGAAATCTGTAGGGTCCATGAAAATGGCCTCACATTGCTTCACCTCATGGTGATGCAGGGAGATGTGGAAAAGGTGAAGTTTCTCCTGAGCCATAAAGCCAATGTGAACAGCCAGGTAGTCTGTGGCTATACCCCACTCATTATGGCTGTTCAGAAAAGGTCACCAGAGATCTGCTCAGTTCTGATAGAGCATGATGCAGACATCAATATGGCTGATGATGATGGCTGGACACCTCTTCACTTTGCTGCTCAGAATGGGGATGACAGAATTGTACGCCTCTTGCTGGACCACCAAGCACAGGTAAATGCTCAAGAGCATGATGGGTGGACCCCTTTGCACTTGGCATCACAGAACAACTTTGAGAATGTGGCCCGAGTACTGCTGTCTCGCCAGGCTGACTCCAACACCCCGGAGGCTGATGGGAAAACTGCCCTCCATGTGGCAGCTTGCTTTGGACACGTCAGCTTGGTGAAACTGCTTGCCAGTCAAGGAGCGGACCTGGAGAAAAAGCAGAACAACCATAGAACCCCACTTCATGTTGCTGTGGAGAGGGGAAAGTTCAGAGTAGTCCATTATTTGCTGAAGAATGGTACCTCTGTCAACAGCCTGGATCAAAATCATTACAGCGCCCTGCACCTGGCTGTGGTGAGGGGGAAGTATCTCATCTGTGAGAAACTCATCAAATATGGAGCCAATGTGGAGCTGAGGACAGACAAAGGTTGGACTGCCCTGCACCTGGCTTCTTTCAAAGGACACATTGAGATCATCCACCTGCTAAAAGATAGCCACGCCAAACTGAATGCCAAAGGAAGCATGGACTGGACGCCACTTCACTTGGCTACTCGCTACAGCGATGAGCCGGTAGTCTGTGAGTTATTGAGATGTGGGGCAGATCCCAACATTGCTGAGAAGTCACAGTGGGCCCCTCTCCATTTTGCAGTCCAGCGGGGCTCCTTTATGGCTGTCATCAATCTTCTGGAGTGCAAGGCAGATGTCAATGCGAAGAACAAAGTGGGCTGGACACCCTTGCACCTTGCTGTCCTCAAGGGCAATATGGCCATTATAAAGACCTTGATTAAGGCTGGTGCTCTGCTTGACGTGGAAGATATCACTGGCTGTACAGCCCTCCAGTTGGCAATTAGACATCAGAGAGAAAACATCATTACGCTGCTTCAAGGCAAGGACTCCTTGATGAATAAATCAGGGAATCGGACTCTGCTGAATGATGCTAAGATTTCAAGACCCAAATTTGTTCCAGGAAGGACAGATCTGTAGACTCATCAAGTCTGGCATTTATGACTTGAGTTTTCCAGTATCAGGTGCTATGCCTTAACCCATCACACCCTGTCACCTGATGATTACAGGAAAATAGTTGTGGGGTTTTTTTTAATGGACATTTCTAAGCATGAACACTAAAAGACTGAAAGAAAATGGAGCTGCAGAAGGAAGTCGACAGGTTATTTTCCAGAGTCTGATCAAGCTTGTAGAACATTTTGACTTGGTGATGCTGGCTTCAGGCAATGCTTTCCTGTTTTAATACTCACTGTGCAGGGATGGAGATGGATATATGTACTCCCTTTTCACACGGGCAATGCTGAAACTGTGCACAGCAACCCATATATACATGTCTGCCGCAGATTTTTTTTTGCTTTTATTCCATGTTTTCCTACAGAGCAAATTGGTGTAAAATGGCCTTGGCACAGGTGGGAATTGAATCATGAGATTCTCACCTGCTGCTGGAGATAGACACTAAGCATATGTTACAGCACTGTGTCAGATTTTCTGACATCTTATTTTTGTAACAAGAATAAAATAAAACAAGGAAGGAAGAAAAATCACTAGTAGAAAGTATTTGAATGGAAACAACACAGAGAAAAGAAATTCCAGAATAATTCCACTCCATCAGGGAAACTGCTCAGCAGTAAGTTAGGTAGCAGTGTAGGTCATTCAGTGTGCTGGCTGGAGAACAAAGACGACTTTCTAGCCCCAAAGAAGAAGTCGTCACTTAATAGTTGACACACAAGAGAACTGGCTATTTTCAGGGCAACGTTTAAGTCATGTCTCTGCTGGGAAATAATTCTTGGTGTCCATCAAGAAGATGTTCTAGAGCTTGATTACTTCTCTAGAGAACATAGAGTCTTCATGGATTTGATTCTTTTGTTGCAGTAAGTAGCACTTTTGTGCAGCTTGTGACAATCCTCCCATGATTTGCTAAGCACTTCCAAAATGATGACTTACTTTCATCATCTTAGCTGGAAAGATGCTGCAATGTAAACAAATTATCCACAGCTCTGCAGGGGAGAAGATGCGTCTTTCCTGATGGACATTATTAGCTGGGAGTCATTACTTTAGCCAGTGTTACTTTTTATCCTTTATAGATGGAGAAATAGAAAAGTCTATTTGTGCATGCGGTGCACTTCAGGTCCCAGCGAGCAAGCCAAAGCGATAATGCAAACATGTAATTTGCTTCCTACAGTGAGAGAATGGTGGGCTCCAGACAAATCGGCTTACTAGGTCTGAAAAGACAGCTGCTAAAGCTCTGGTAGCTGTGCTTGGGCTGAAAAGAAATATAACTGTGCTGGAGACTGTCTCCTCTAGCTGAACATCAGTAATTGCTCTTGCTTGCTCTGCTGGTATCCCAGTGCCATCTTAAGTGCTTTAGCCATTCAGAAATGTTGTACTGGTTCTTTACCTCATGCAAACAAGGGTGAATGGCACACTAAAGGGAGTTCCTTTTCAGCTCTGGCCAGCAACTAGAATTGCTCTCATACAGGGAGGTTCTGTTCAGTGGCTTCTCCTAGGCTTGGTGTGTCTGAGAAATGCTTATTGCCCAGGAAAAGCTGGCAGTTGTTTGATCAGGACAGAGCAGAACGTCAGGTTTGAAATGTTATATGAGAACTAAGCTATATTGTGATGTGCGAGTCATAACTATATTTCATTGTTTAATACAGCATGCTTTTCCTTAGGTTAGCTTTAACTCACTGAAGCTCTCTGGACTAGGCTAAATAAAAGATCAGGCAGAATGACTGTAATAACAGTGCTTGCTGTTAAAAATCTCTTAGTCACTTCTCATGCATATATTTTCCTTTTGACATTTGACCAGTTGAAGATGTCTTGAGGATATTATTATAAACTGAGTAGAGATGGAGGGCAGCGGCAACTCTGGAGAACAGCAGATGCAGGAGCGAGGTGCTTTCCTGAACCACAAAGGCAGGGAGCTGCCCGGTTTACTCTCCCCTCCTATTGCAGAGCACAGAAGTCTTTGGCTTCCAGGCTTGCCTCCTGCTTGAATGGGGGGGTCCAGGACCCTGCCTTGCACAGTAGGAATGCAATTAGCGTCTGTGCAATATGGCCTTGGAATTACCTGCCTTCAGATCTTGAAGGAAACCTTCCAAGCTTTTTGTATGCCAAAAAGGTTTTCTTCTGGCTGTGTACAAGGCACTAACTTTATTACATTATGAAGGGATATAGTTGCTGTTTTCAACTGAACCATTTTTAGTGGGGAAATGGATGATGTTACTTACGGAAAAAGCTGAAGTGACTCATTAAGTGCTGCCTCATAACAACCAAATCTTGAGAAGGTTAAAAAGCCCAACCTCTACTGATTTAATTTTCATTTTTACATTAACTTAAAATATTAATGTATAATATATTTGAACTCTGTTTTTCATGATGCTTTAACATCAAAGCAAAACCTTTAGCTATTATTAAAAAATGGGTTATATTAAAATGATTCATTGTTAGCATTTGCCATTGGTGAAGCAAGGAGCTGTGCAGGTTATGAATTGAAATTCCGGCGAGGTTTTCTTTTGCAGGGGCCTTAAAAATGTACCTTTTTTTTCAACCAAGCTTGAGGTATTCAGAAATTCCTCAAGAATGGAAATAGTATTTGCTGACCTGCTCATGCTGTCTGCCTTCCAGAGTCAGCTTATGATGCAGGTTTTCAAAGGGATGGAGGAGGAAAGGGGACATAGAGAGTGAGCTTAGAGGCTGCTATAATTGAAACGAAGGAATTGTGTAGTTTGTACACATCATACAACATGGAGTGGCCTTTCCATCACCTGTGCTAATATCTCCTTAGTTTTCTTCTTTTCTTTCCCCAGTTGTATCTCCCCAAGGGACACCTTGTGTAATGTAAAGATTGCGTACACATAAGCTGGATTATTTCAGGCAACTCCCAGTTTGGTTCTTGTTCATAGATGATGTTCACTTTTGTAAGAGTGGAGCACTATGCACAGAGAGAGCATCTGCAGAATTGCTCTTCAGATGGTGGGGTAGCGTCACTTGCTCAGTACAGTCCCATTCTTTTTTTAGCCATTAAGTGTTTCCCTGCCAAAGAGCTAAAGCCATCTGTTTAGCTTCGAAGCCTAGCTCTGAAATCCAGAGCCGTTTCCCCGTGTTGGCTGCTAAATGTGCCCTGTCTTCACTCCAGGGCACAGGCACAGGCAGTGTTTTGAAAGAGGCTGTTCTGCTGCTAGTGCTTTTTCTTACTCATCAGTTGAAGTGGAAGAGAGGAAGGATAATGACATCTTTTGCATTAAGTCAGTGCCCAAGGAATTGAGAGAAGGCAGCTAATTGAAGACTAAATGTCAAGGTCCCGAGTGACTCTCAGAATGCCACCCTCCTCCAATGGACCTTTCACACACAGAGATGCCTGGGTGCGGTTATCCATTTCTCATTAATCAGGGAAAGCCTGCAATTTAGTGCACGGAAATTAGTCACAATTGCTAAGCTCTGTGAAATGATACAGTTCTTGTTCTGTCTGCTCCTGTGCTTCTCAGTGCCTTGATACGAGCTCAACATTCAAGATGCTTTTATTACTTATGTCATGCAGATATATGCAGACTGTGGCTAATATCTTCTATTTCTGATGATTTTGTTTCACAGGAGAATGAAAAAGACAGTGCCTTTGCACACATCTTGCTGATGTTATAGTTACCTTCTCGCATTCTGTGGCATGCCGAACGCAAATTGCATTACATGTCACCAACAATGGCAGAATCGGGAATGGATGTCTGGCTAACACCCCCCCACACACACATTCTAGGGGAGGATTCTTTCATAGTAACACTTGCAATGGAAATAGTTAAACTTTGCTCCCGTAAGGGTGTCTTTCAACACCTCACATTCAGACATTCTCATGAGGTGCCCTACCTCCATTATTTAACAGGAGTGCTTTGAAGCAAGTAGATTTTTTCTTTGCTTAACTGCAATTGAGTAGCAACGAGCTGTCTCCTAAGCTCTCCAGAGAGCGCTCAGGGTGCAATCCACCTTCCCAAAACCTGACCTGCTGCTGGCGGTGGCTCCTGTGTGGGGTGGAGAGGACAGGTGGTTTCTCTGTCGAAAGGCCCCATTAGCACCAGTAGCACTGGCCACAGCAGTGCCAGGACTATGGTGGGAAGAGCAGGACTCAAACCTGTGCAGTTACTGCTGATGCCATGTGCTGTGCTGCAGAAACAGCGCTTCTCATGCTTAGCCTCAAACAGAGGGGTGTTTGTAGCAAATCGGAAGCTTCGCCTCTAATTAAAATGTCATACTTCTTATATTCAAACAGCCTGGAAATCTCTTGCTGAGACTAAGCTGTTTAGCTGTTGTTGTCAAAGGCATAACATTAAAGAAGCATGAGGCGTAGACAGATAGCTCTCCCTTGGTGTGACATTTTTACTCCGATATCATTTTGAAGATGTTTTTCTTAGCAGTGATGCTTGAAATCCTGCAAGATGATGGATGTGAAAAAAAAGGAATACTGGTCTCCCTGTACTAGTAATGTCTTAAAAAAAGAGGGGAAAAAAAAAATTCAACAGCTCAAATAGCCCAAAACCTTCAGTAGTAACTGAAGTAAATCCAGAGAGGGGTTTTGTGGTTTGAGGGTTTTTTTTTGGTTGATTGGTTAGGGTTTTTTTGAATGCATGCTCTCAAGGGCTCAAATTTGTGATGGGAACCTCTGCTGTTCATTTTACTCCCTTTAATCTCCAGGTAGCAGATGGGGGGGGGGGGGGGGGGGGGGGGGGA